CTTTATGATGCCTTACCTCTCCTGCTGAAGTAAGGCCCCATAAATGTTTTTTAATTGCACAGATAATACCTCAAAAAACCACTCAAATTTTCACTGAAAATTGCTATGAAAATAGGTGCGTAGGAATCGTAATTACTGCATTAGGCCTCTACATTGTTTATATATTTAAAAAAGGCATAGGCCCTAGGTCAAATCCTAATTTTCAGCAAAATTTTCACGGAAACCGATTCTTTTTTTCGGAAATGTGCGAACAGGTTTTTAGGCCAAATTTTGTGCGGACGATAATACAAATTACATTATCCGCGCGCAGGCCTTATTATACAGTCTGGGTAAGGCTTGAGCGGGAATACATTATATCCTCTGCGCAAAAATTTGACCTAGAAATCCGTCCAATTTCCATGCATTTAGGCTTTGACCGAATCTTAATATGTATTATGCACTAATTACGATTCTACGTACCTATTTTCCATGCAAATTTGAGCCAATTTTTTAGGTATTATCTGCTCAATTGAAATTACTTTACAGTATGGTTTATGCTTAATCCCAATAGTCTATATAGGCCTAGCCTAGTACATAATAATAATAAATAATAATAATAATAATAATAATAATAATAATAATAATAATAATTTAAAAAAATATATAGGGATAGAAATGTTTTTCCGTTAAATTAACAGATGATGATATTTGAGACAACCAACCAGTGGTTTTTTTTTGTTTTTTGAACCATATTCTTAGACATGGTGTACCAAAATTTTAATGATTTTACTATTTTATTTATATTCTGAATAGTAAATATGTTTGTTTTTTTTTTTATATTTTCCTTTTTAGGTAAAATGGGTGATTTGTTAGAAGATATTCTGGAGTGTCATATTTGTGCAGAAAAGTATAATCTTACAGACAGACGACCAAAGGTCTTAAACTGTGGGCATAGATTCTGTTTAGGATGTTTAAACTTACTTGGACAGCAAAACCACATCAAATGCCCAAATTGCCAAAAGGTATTTGACATACCTGCATGTGGTGTAAAGAGTTTTACTGATAATTTCACCATCATTGATTTAATGGAACATGTAAATGTGCCGCCAATCCAAGGAACCAGTGCTGGAGATTGTCATGAAAATATAACAGATGGTGTTGTCAAACTACAGGGGTTGATCACCAACTTTGAAGCTGAACTGCAGGCACGGAATGTTGTTGCAAAGTTTGACACTGCAGAAAAAAACATTGAGGATTCATTCCATAAGATGCTGCAGCTGTTGGAGAGACGAAAACATTGTCTTCTGGAAGAATTCAACACTATTAAGGAAAAGGAGGTAAATTCAAAAATTTGGAGTATCCAGAGGGAGGGGACATAACCCCATTGCTTAGAAGCTTCATCTCATTTAGTAAAATGTCTGCAACTCTTTATCACTTTATCATTTGTATTACAAATGTCACTTACTTCCTGTAGTTAGATTATTTTAAATAATATTTTGTCTCCATAAATTACAAATCTGTTTTCTTTGTCTATAGATCAGAAATCTAGATATTCAAAACAAATCAATAAGTGATGCAAATAAGTTTCTCACTTTGACCCAACAACAACTGAGAGATGGCACTCTCAAAACCAAATCAAATCTTCAGAAAATATCCGCTGAATGCCAAAGGCTACAGGATGGTGTTAGTTCTCTTAAGAAGTCAGAATTTAAGTTTAGCTTCTTGAAGCATGGACAAGATGATCTCATGAATGGAATTGCTAGCTTTGGTTGTCTGGTGAAAGAAGAAAAAGAAACACAAAAGTGTGTCACTCCTCTGACAGTCTTGGCTAAAGAAAATGTCTCCATGGTCCCTCCAGAACAGAGGTATAATAATGCAGATAATCAGCTCAAGGTACTTCCTCTATCACGACTTGATGCACCATTCAGCTGTTCCACAGTGAATCCATCTGCAGTTGTAGAGGTTGGAAGGAACTTGTTGCTGCTAGACTCTCAACAACACTTTATTGATTTACTTGAGGCATCAAGACCAAATGTTTTGACATATTTTCCCATACAGATGCCAAGGAAAGATATTAATTTGTTCTTACCATGTGGCATAACTGTAGATTCTGAAAACAACATTGTGTTAATTGATAATGCCAGTATGATTTACATTGCTAGCACAAGTGGACAATATGTAAATTCATTTAGCATTCTTACAAGTGGAGATACATTTTACTCAAATTTTCCAAATGTAGGGTTAGCTTGTGATGGCAACAATGATATTTATACTTGGTGTAGCAAGTACAAAATCCTTCGCGTGTTTAACAAAAATGGTGTCTTGTTGCGAAATATTGCACCTGCCCATGCAAGGTTTGCAGAACCTTTTATCAGTTCAATTTGTATACATGATGAGAAAATCTACATTGCTGATTCAAAGGTTAGCACTATTGCAGAATACTCAAGCCAGGGAGATTTGCTGAAGACTATGGGAAAATTTGGAGTGGGAAATGGTCAGTTTAAAAACCCTGAAGGAATAGTAGTTGATAAGAAGGGGTTGATATTGGTGGCAGATTCTGGAAATGGAAGAATACAGGTGCTGTCACCTGAAGGGCAATTTTTAATCAGTTTCGGTGAGACCGCACTAAGCATACCTTGTTATGTATCAGTATTTGATAAAGGTCAGGTTGCGATATGTGATAGGGTAAAGCAATGTATCATGATGTTGGAATAGTATTTGACCTTGGCTACTGCAATATGATGAGTTATAATTATTGTAGGGCAAAACATCATTCCTATTAAATTTTCTGATGGGAACACCTTCGAAATAATAATTATTATTATTAAGTATCTGTACAGTAATTTATATTTCCTTACCTTTTATTATTTTATGAGGCAGATAATTCTTTTCGCAAAATGAAAATTCTGTTATGTGACTGTTTGACTCCGTGCATGTAAATACTTTACATTGCTAACATAGAAAAGTGATTGTTGTTTTTCTGATACCTAACCATAAGTTTCTTTAAGTGTGATCAAATTTAATTTTATTTAAGGAGTTGCCATATAATACAATAAGAAATACAGTATTGTCTAAACAGTATATTAAATTTATATATCCAGTTGTATGAACTGATTGTAATTTACTGAATCTCGAATATCAATAAGTCAATTATATATTTAAATTACATTAATCCAGATAATCTCTTTTAAATCATTGAGATAACAATAAAAAATACTAATAAAAGCAATAACAGTGCACAGTGGAAATCTCACAGTAGGTTAATACATCCTTTGTATTTGGATTATTATCGATAAAATGGTTCTAACAGCTATAATAAGCATACCTGTAGCCACTGTTTGTTTAGCTTGTGTTATAGAATTTAGACTTCAGATAATTAGCTTTATTTGGCTCCAGTAAACATTTTACAAAAACCTTTGAACATGTTGTCAAGATCTTTAGTTACATGCTCCTTGTATGTCAACTTTCCCTGGCAACAAAAATAAATATTAAGAGTTATATAATGAACACAATTGTATTGTTCTAATCCATCTACAGACATTAGGCAAGACTTTTTTTATACCTTTTTTTTTTCACGAAGGAGGGTGGACAAGAAATGAAAATAAAATTTTGTTTTCTTATTTAGCAAATAGATTTGCCAAAAACATCCAGACAGAAGAAAATAAAAATAAGATGTAGTTTACAGTGTAGTAAATGGGATGGTTAACTGCTTTAAATTTATATAATTAGTGCAATAAATATAAACAAAAATAAAGAAAAACTTTTTCGTGGCAGTGGTTGCGCTTATTGGCCAAAAATAGAATTCAAAATCATTGTTATTCGCTAAACAAGGTATATAAAAGTCTTGCCTTGATAAAGCAATATCCATGAAAGAATACAAATGATGTCAACATTTGTCATAGTGCACCATATATGATTATACTTACTGAATCAAATAATTTATATGTACACATTTATGTACATATATATATATATACAATTAATTATATTTCAATTTAGACAATAAAATACAGTAGATACAATGCTCGTAATAATGAAGAATGAAATTCAGAGAACACGAATCAAATCGGGCTATGGTATTGTTGATATTCTAATGTGAAAGGGCTTCATGGCAACTTTCGTGACTCGTAATCGATTACTAAAATGCATGTCCCTCCTTTCACCCAGGCCCTGTGACTCATGTTACGCCACTGACGGAAAGAAGAAAAAAATAACTAGAAATTGCAAGTGAAGTGCTGCGAAGTACAACTGCATATAAATGTTCTTCGAACAAAATTATTTATGCAAGTCAAGTGAAAATAATGAATAATGAAAATATAACAAATAATATGAGACATGACCCATTGTCTATATTAGAACACTTCTCATTGGGTAACAAAGTCGTAATTTTTAATTTTTGTCAAAGTGTCTATAGTGGTGAATTATGGTTTAGGTTTTTTTTAATAAAGTTTCAAAAATGTCTATGTATGTGGAAAATGTAGTTGATTACCATTTTTTTTATGAGGCAAGTTTCCAAGGGCGGGTTTTCTAGGGGCGAGTTGACTGCCAAGGAATGTTACCAAAGTGCGAGCCAGCGTGTTATTTGATCACAAGTGCGAGTCATCGCAAGTGTGAGCCAGCGAGCCATGACGTCACTCGAGTTGTGCGAGGTATTGGCCGAGATTTGTGGAGTACAATTCAAAAAACAACTATAGGTCTAATAATGAATTATTGTGATGTAAGACAATGTTAGCTATCAAGGAGCGACGTTGTTTTTCATTGGGACCTTCGTCCCTTCAAGGCTAGGCCTATACCATCCTAGCTAGTCTAGGCCTAAAGTAGGATAAGGCTAGCGCGGCATGCGGACGTTGGTACGTGTTGGTTAGTCTACAAACGTCGCCTAAAGTAATTGATTTTACCCGGAAGAACGAAAGAAGGAAACTCCGCTTTTCAGTCGTCTTAGGCCCTTGACTGAAAAAAAGACTAAATCCACCAGCCACGAGTAACACTGTTTAAATATTCATCAGAATAATTTTGTCATTAGTAAACTAGCACGCATGACTCATCTGTTTGCTTTTAACATTTTTTAGATTATAAATAAGTTAACTGAAAGTTGACATATTTGATTCATTTTCATAAATTTTTCAGGAAGTCCAATTCAAACAAAAGCATAAACAGACTATTACTTGAGTGAAGACTTCAAACAAATAAATGAGAATTCAACAAATATACTTGTTTAAATAAAATCAGAATATTTAATAATTTGCACAATTATCGTTGACAAATAGCAACTCTTTAAATAACTATTGAAATGCATGTACTACAGTACAAAAATATGGCTGTTGCAAGAGGTTTGACACCTCTAGATCTGTCTCTTATACACATCTAGATGTGTATAAGAGACAGCCATATATGATTATACTTACTGAATCAAATAATTTATATGTACACATTTATGTACATATATATATATATACAATTAATTATATTTCAATTTAGACAATAAAATACAGTAGATACAATGCTCGTAATAATGAAGAATGAAATTCAGAGAACACGAATCAAATCGGGCTATGGTATTGTTGATATTCTAATGTGAAAGGGCTTCATGGCAACTTTCGTGACTCGTAATCGATTACTAAAATGCATGTCCCTCCTTTCACCCAGGCCCTGTGACTCATGTTACGCCACTGACGGAAAGAAGAAAAAAATAACTAGAAATTGCAAGTGAAGTGCTGCGAAGTACAACTGCATATAAATGTTCTTCGAACAAAATTATTTATGCAAGTCAAGTGAAAATAATGAATAATGAAAATATAACAAATAATATG